ACCATAAAAAGATTCTCTTTTAAATGATCACAAAGCTTAGAATGATGTATTGCTTTCACACAAGCTATTTCGTGTTTGCCTCGCAGTCAGAATCGACTGCTTTGATTTTACAGCAGAATTTCATGTCCAATTTCAAAGCAAATGCCCCCCTTTTCAAACTTCCAATCAGTCTCAGTCCCCAATAGAAGCTGTTTTGAGTCTCATTCTGTGAAGTTTGAAATTTAAACTATGTCTTTTGCTAGGCACTATTGCGCTGTTGTATTTTTCTATGTCTCTTTTTTTCACTCTTACTTTGACGTTTGTACGCGCGCACACAGAGGGGACCAACCTTGTGCTCGCGGCTGGTGGGGATACCCGACCTGTGGGCCCTGTAACTGCGATGTCAGCAAAGGCTTCAAAAGGGACTGTAATAAAACCACCGGAGAGTGTAGCTGCAAGGTAAGCTGCAAGTGATCACATGCTCCAGATTCTCGAAAGAAATCAGACTTCTAGACTTCTAGTTGTTGTCCAACAGTCACACTTCACATAAATTGGACCAAGTAGCTTTTATTCCATTAAGCACACTACTGTTTAAATGTTCGGGGTCAGTAAGATTTTTTTCATGTTTTAATTTTCAGCATCATTACTCCAGTTTCCAGTGTCACATGATCCTTCAGAAATCATTCTAATATGCTGATTTGTTGCTCAAGAATTATTTCTCTGAAAAACCATTGAAAACCATTTTTGTGAGAACCATGATACATTTTATTTTCAGGATTCTTTGATGAATAGAAAGTTCAAAAGCATTTATTTGAAATACAAATATTTTGTAACATAAATATTTTACTGTCGCTTTTAAACAGATTAAATGCATCAAATTGAGTGCATGCTTGCTGAATATAGTATTAATAAAAAAATAAAAAAAACTTTGTTTCCACCACAGAATAATATACAGTATTATTCTCAATAATTTTCTCTCTGTTCTGATTTTATATCTCACAATTTAGTCTACAGATCTCAGAATTGCGAGATGTTAATTATAAATTCTGAAAAGAAAAGTCAGAATTGTGAGATAAAAAAGGTCGCAATTACCTTTTTTTTTTTTATTCTGCTTTGGAAAAAAACAGAATTGCAAGAAGTAAACTTACAATTCTGAGCAAAAAAGTCAGAATTGCAAGATGTAAACTAAGAATAATAAGATATAAAGTCATAAAGTTTATGTCTCACAATTCTATAAAAAAGTAGGAGTTGTGATATAAAAACTTGCAATTGCAATAGAAAAAAACAGGCTTCCATATTAATTTCAGGTTCATGCTCACAAAATTCCATTATTTTCTCATCCTCCCTTTTTCAGGACAATTACTTTCGGCCTCTTGGTGCAGACACTTGCTACCCGTGTGATTGTTTTCACCTTGGAGCGCATTCCCGGACATGTGACCCTGTAACGGGCCAGTGCCCCTGTAAGATGGGTGTGGTGGGTCGTCAGTGCAACCGTTGTGACAACCCCTTCGCAGAGGTGACAGTCGGGGGATGTGTGGGTATGTGTGATGTCAGCTGGCCAGGATATTAGTTAAATGTTGTTAACCTAATTTCAAAACTGCTCACAGAATGCTTGACAATATCTTGGACAACTGAATAAATAATAATATATAATATATATAAAAAATATATTTGCAAGCGCAGTATGATGAAATGTAAGTGTAATACACTCCAGTCATGAGCAGACTGCTTTTATGTCAGCTTTGAGTGTCTGTACTGACTGTGAGGTTTAGAAATAATGGACATTTGTGGTTCCTAAAAAGGTCTTATCATTAAGACAGCAACAAACCTTGTTAGAGGCACTTAATGGCATCTGTTTTGCATTTTTCTTCTCCCTCACTCTCACTCCATTTTTTGTTATCTAGTGGTTTATGATGGTTGTCCCAAAGCCTTTGAAGATGGTATCTGGTGGCCCCGCACCATGTTTGGTGGCCCTGCAGCCACAAACTGCCCCAAAGGATCCAGTGGTACTCTCTTTAATCAAATCAAGAATTTACATAAACAATATCAAAAGTTGGACACACTTGACTGAATTTGAAAAGTTTGAATTTTGTAGACAGCTATATTTATTTATTTAAAAATAGATTTTCTAATAGAAATTTATAGTAAATTTCACAAATAATTATAAAAAACTGGCATGTAACAAGTTGAATTGAACGTGAAATTTTGAAGTAGACGTAAATTTTGAAGTTTCTTGCAAAAAAAATTCTTCAATAATCTTTGTTTTAATTTAATTATGTTTTTTTACAGTTTATAATTCTAAATATTCAGTCAAATTTATATAATTTAGTATATATAATCTGCCCTAATTAATAAAAAAATTTAACCTTTGTAGACAATTATATTTATATAATTTTAAATATAGTTCTATTCATATAATTTTCAATATATAATTGTACCTCTAAATGAATTTCACTATAAAACTATATATATATATATATATATGTATATATATTAGTGCTGTCAAACGATTAATCGCAACGAATCGCATCCAAAATAAAGTTTATAAAGTTT